GGATTGAAGAAAAACAGTATATACACTTGAAATTGACTTGAAAGTTTTCATATAGGACCTAAGCTACATCTAATATATGCAAGTAACCCTCTCTTTTATGAAGTAGACCTAAATAAGTTGATTTTTTTCCAGAGGATTTATTAAAAACGCCAACATGAAAACATTAGTTACAAAATGTAGTGCCCATAATGTTTTACAGAGCACAGCATCCAGGGGAATTTAAAACCATAAAAATCTGTTTCCAAATTTATATTGGATACTCTCAGATGCCTTGTTAACTTAAAAGATATCATCAAAGTAATCTATGTTAAAATATATCTGTAGTAACTTTACTGCATACTCTATTATAAGACCTTATTAAATGTTGTTTTGCGTGTATCTGTTATTTAAAAGATAGCGTTGCCTTTTCAAGTTTAGTTTGGAGAACATGCTAATGCAGTACATATTTTTATTTCAAACATGTATTCATTATATCACCCCATGAAGTAGACCCTGGCAGCTGAGGAATTGATTTCCTAAGCATTACTAAACCAAAATCAACATAAAAGTCTGTGGGTCATATCACTAAACTAAACACTATATATTTAAATGTATGCTTTGTAAGTTTCAGTAAGAAAGGAATGTGGCTTTTACACCTTTGTGGTGGCCATCAAATTGCTTTTTTGACTCTTAAAATTATTTATACAGAACTTAAAACATAAAACAGGTAAGTATTTATCTACTCCAATGTATGCATAAACAGAAAAGATTGTGGGACCACAGCAGGGACCCCAATTACAAGTCAGCCACAACTTTTCTATGTGATTGTTGGCTACAGTAAATGTGGAAAGAAATATTGCTGTTGGATTTTACCGTCTTTGTATGATTTTAGACATCCCTGAGACTAAAAAGGCACTATAGAATTTTTTCAAATAAGCAACTCTTCTTCCTAGTCACATAGTATGTTTTCAGCAAAGAAAAACACATGTGAGAAGCAAGCAAATGCACCTTTCAAAATTAATTTGTGTCAAGAATGAAGCTGTCTCCAACTCTAATTTCAGTTCGACAAGGGTTTCAACACTTGATATTTCTCTTCGTCAATATATCTACATGAGTTTCTCATATAGCTTTTTTGTGACAGTAGAAAAATCCCCTAAAAACCATAGGATAAGTCACATCTTTCAATATACACAGTGTCTGGCTACATTTTTATCCAGAAAGCACTCACAAGCGCCCAGACATTCAAATCTCTTGGTGAATTTCATGTTAAGGGCTGTGATTTCAATGTCAACGTGGAAGCTCCCATAGCTTAAAATGGGTAAATTTCTATTTTTGTTTCTATGAATTAGTACAATTTATCTAGGAATTTATTTAGTACAACTGAAAAAATCCAATAATGCAAACTGTACTCAGCTGTACTCACACTCAACTTGATATTGCTTGGTGCATCAAGAATTGCATATTTAGATTTTCTTTTGACCTCATTCAAATACCTAAACTCTATTAATGCATATATATATATATATATATACATATTAGCTATATTTTGAGTGAATATATTAAGCTAATATATTAAACAAAGTAATTAGTGGTGGGTTAGTTATGCAATACTTGAAGAAATAATTATAAGACTTTAGGTTAGGCAGCTATGAAGTGTACCCAGTTTTGGCAGTTTGCTGTTTACAGGTGAACTTCTGAGAGTGATGTGGTTCATGCTGCTATTATGAAAGCTTTGCTTCTAGAAGAAATTCTTGGATTCAAATTTAGTCATTTAGTGGCTAAAGGCAAACAAACCTTGGACAGAGTAGGACTGATTTAATCATTAGTGGTAACAAAAGTAAGAAAGAACAAACAATAAGCATGTATACACCCAACCATTACATTCTCAAGATATTTCTGGTTACATTGCATCCTAGTTCTTATTTTCACTTTACTAAATGAAAACTAGAATCTAAATCATGTTTTCTGTTACAGTCAGAAAAGCCTATTATATGTTTCCATGTACTTTTTTCTTCAATTTTTAAAAACTGTATGTGGACAGAGAGCACATACAAATGATCTGCTGTTTAAAATTAGGGTTACTATCTGGAAGAATATTCAGCTACTAACTTTGAACACAAAAACAAGAAATACATATGGACACCATCAATCATTTAGGTCTTTAAATAATGTTAACAATTAAAATGGCCTTTTCCAATACACTATTTGATAATCTTTATAACAACTTTCTGTAAACCAATTTTATTTAGCAGGATATGCTGTGACATACTATTGATTGCTCAATCATAAAATATCTCTGATTTCTTCTGTAATAATACTATGTTGATTTTGTCCAAGTATAAGTCAGGAATGTGCTCAAGGGAAACCTGAACACTCTATCCTGAGGGTAGGAAATGTATAAGACTTGGTATAATTCACTCACGGTTAATTCATGACCTGGTGTTCATTATTGGTTCAGTATTGGTGTGTCCTGAACAATAAAACATGAAAGGAATTTTTCTGGGAAGAAATTTGTTTTTTTTCCCCTTATTCTTAAATGAGATAAAATAAAATTAATAAGATGCTCTAGGAGAATTTAACTTGCTGTCTTTGGTCACATTTTGTGAGAACAGGATGACTGAGTTGCTAAAATTATCTTATGATAGCAAAAGCCAAAACAATCATAGAGAAGTCTTTTTGAAAGCTCTACAGTTTTGAAATGCTGAATTAATCAATTCTGGAAACACTTGTCTCTGGATTTTCAGTTGTATTCAAACCACATTTAATTAGATATTCTGTTTCTAAGAGTAGAAGACATCTCCTGGACATTCATATACCATAAATACCTCAAGTAAAATGGTATTGTGCAGGCAGGTTTATATGTTAGTATGCATTTTATAAGTGATTAAAAATATTTTTTGAAAACAAGTTCAAATCACATATTTATGAATAAGAAGGATCTATATAGCTCTAACATTTGTTATTCTTGCCCAGTTGGATATAATTCTCTTTTTCTATATATCACCACCTCAAAATCTTCTTTCAAGCCTTCCTGTTTCTCCTGTGCAGTTGACCCTGCCCTCTATTCATAGACTGGGCACAAGATCCAAGCCTGCCTTCATTGGCTGGTTCAGTGATGTGCAGATGAACCAAGCTAAAACATTAGGATCAAATTTTGTTATTTTCATCTCTGGGGTTCTTCAGGTAGTATTTAAAGGCAGAACAGCTAGTAGCCATCTTAAAGGGTGATGGTCTGTGGGAAAACCTGCACTGAGAAAAGCAAAGAGACAAGAAAGAAAGTACTTGATGACATTATTTGCTCTCTTGGATCCAGCATTGTCGGAGAAAGAAATAGTCCCAAACTTTTCAGTTATGTCAGTTAATAAGTTCACTCTGGGTTGAATTTATGTCATATATAATCAGAAAGTACTGCCTAACAGTCTTGCCTAGAAGTCTTGCTCAGTAATCTGTTTCAAGTAGACTTCTTTCTTATAATTCAGTACATAAATCATATGATATATATGGAAGTGTTACAGTGCAATTATTATGCTGAGATTATTATCCTAGTGCCTAATTACTTAAAATAATTCCATAGGATTTATATGTTGAAATTACTAACAATAACCCTAGAGTAGATACATTTTCAGCACATATTATTTATTAATTTCTATTACTTATGGAGATTTTTAATAGACTTATGTCTATGAATAACACCCCTCATTCTTTGAAAGGGGTAATTTATGCTTGCCTGAATTCATAATCCACTGCTAATCCTATTGATATTCATTTTCATTTATTTTAAATTCTTGTATGTTTCTATCTTTTAAGTAACTAATTTTCTCTTCAGCAGACTTAAAACTGCTCTTTACATCATTGATTTCCTCATCCCAGTTATCATATATCTGCTTCCTAAAAGCTTATTTTAATTATTTTTAAAATGACAGCTAGAGCAGCTGTCAGAAGAAAGTACTATTTCCTCAATGGACTCACATTTTCTCAACATTTTTAGCCCATTAGGTGTTCTTCAATATTTGCCAGTTCTTTTGTGCATTCTACAAGTTATTTTTTGTGTATTTTATCCAGTAGTTTTATGTGTTCTGTAAACATCAAAAATAGGTATATTAAAGCCATCAGTTTGCTGTAAATAGAAACCTCTCTGTTTCTTTCAAGAATAACCATAAACATACAGAGTTAAGGTATAATCTTCAACATTTTCCTGATCCACTGAGGTTATTTCATATTTTCTTGGCAACAAGGTACTGAAATTGCTTGTGAGTCTATTTTCTATTTCACCTACTGCCAATTTAGTTACCTCACTGTTTTGTATACACCTTCTTGAATTATTATAAATCCTTTCATGAGGAATATAATATGAATAAATCTATAAACGAGGTACATATTAAAAATACATCTATTTTTTTTATCTTTTTTGCAGTTTATGGTGCATTTTTACCTACCTTGTATTATTTTATTTTCTTTCCAAATATAGACACTATGGAAATTCTTCTGTGGCCAAAATAATGACTCCCAAGATGGTGATACCTGAATTAAACTCTGGTCTCGTGACTTTATGTTTACATCAGAAAAATCAAATATTCTCAATGTTTTAGAAAGGACAACATAAAGAAAGAAATCTACATTGAAACTCCCTGAAGTTATAGGGTATTCTCTAAATGAAGATAGGTATGTTGAAATTGATGGACAGTATGCTTCTCCAAACACATTTAGTTCTGATGTATGAAGTTTTTTGGTTTTTTTTAGTAATTGTAGTGAAATTTATTTATGGCAAATGATTTATCATTTAGATTAATAGCATAACACTTGAACATTCTATACAGCAGCATATTGGATTTAATTAATTCATTTACACTCAGTAGTCTAGAATAATTATTTTACCTGTTTAAATGTGAGACATTACCAAAGAAAAGTAGATAATTACAGAGAAGAATAGAGCACAGCAATAATATAAGGAGCTTATTTTAATTTTCAGACAAAGTGACAGATAATGTTCTCATATCCTGTTTAAAATGGACATCACTTACAGCTGTATTTGCAAAGGTCTCTTCATAAAATGCTAGCATCAGAGCAAACTGTACAACTGTATATATTTTTAATAGTTGAGATGCCGACGATGAGAAAGGAACTTCTTTCCCGGTGACCTAGGTAGACAAGAAAGAAGTCTTCACTTTATATTGTACTCAGATTCCTCTTACTGAAATTCACACCATGTAAGGAGATATTGTAAAAGGAAAGTATTTGCTATTTTCTCTTTCAACAAGATTCTAACATCAAATTTTGGTTAGAAACATATCTGTAAGTTAGATTTTCTTCTCATTTCAGAAACATTATAGTTGTGATTTAGTCCGCCTTAAAGTGCAATGTAAGAATTGATTCTGCAATACGTGCAAATGATAAAGATAGCCAAAAATGGAGAGATTGGATCTTTTCCCATTTAAAATATGTTCACCATCATGTATGACAGCAAAGTAAAAGAAAAAACTGGGCAGTATAGGTAATCATGTTTCAAAAGGAAATATTAATTTATTGGAAAAAACTTTTCTAGTTTTCTAGAAATGCTACACTAGCATTTTTATAACACAGACTCCAGCCCCCAACATTAAAATACTGTATTCACTTTGAGTTATATATTGAAAAAAATAAAAATAATAAAAGTTAACTAGGATTTTTGGAGCCGAAATATGCCAATTATTCTCATCTATATCAAGTTAACTGGCTGTTATCATGACTAATTGTGAACATAAACAAAAGTGTCTGGAAAATTCATTCACAACTGCTTTAGTAACAAATAAGAAAACACTTATTTAGAATAAGATTTTTATAAAATAATAATATTTCAATAAAACATATGATTTTATTGACTTGAAATATCACAGGCTAACTTTTATATTCATAGTATAATCTCTGAAATTGATAGCAGTATTTCTTATTGCTTTTGCATTACTATTTTTGACATGTATTTGATAAGGAATCATAACATATATCCTGTATCATTGAAAAGAAATTCCTTTTTCTTACCTAGACAAGGAATTCCAGATTGAAATTTAATTTTTTTTCATCTGGGTTACAGTGCTTTAAATATCTACATTTCATGATTTTTGGTTTTCAATGTGATTTCTGTATTAATGCTTTTACTCTACTATAGGATGAATATACTTATGGTCTGATCCCAAAACCACATTATCCTGATATTAATTTTAGACCTTCTGTTCTGGGGACCTCAGTTTTCCACGAGTGAAATTAAGGTTAGACCACATCATTCTAAGGCTGCCTCCATCTTTGGTGCTCTAGGACTCAGAGTCTGAGCCACATGTGTTTATGAAGTTATGCTTTGATGAAAGGTTCATGGCTGCAGCTTTGAGTGGATCTGAAAACCAGCCTCTGTTACTATACTTCACAAACTGTGCTCCCTAATAAGAGGCAGTGCCCACTTGGGAAAAGATCTCCTTCGAATTGGCATCTAGGTAGTGGCTACTCATTAAGTTATATGCCACAGGGCTGCATCTGACTACGGAAATACCTTTTTACAGATTTGCATGAAGACAGCCTATTTATTAATACAAGCTGGCTGCTGACCTGACACTATGAGACTAATCTTCACCATCTCCAACTCTATGAACTCTATTTACCTGTGGGATTTCTTCACTCAGTCCAAGTCTTGGTTTACCTGGACCCCATCCTGGTCCTTTAAATATAACAGAAAACTTATGAAAGAATCCAGGTGTGGCCCAGAATGTAGACCATATGTAAAATAAATGGTGGAACTAGAAAAAAATAAAAGTAGAGCTTATTTAAAACATGACAAATATAACACAAAAGATTAAATACAAAAAAATCATCTATTTTATTGTTTAATATATTATGTATATATTTATGTATTTTCTTTAATATACGTTATATATGATTAGATTAATGGAGATTAATATGTGCTTGCATTCCTATTGTAATTCATTTTACACATTCCGCTTACCTTTAAATATGTTCTTATTAATATTTCTAATGTTCAACAAAATCATAATTTTAAAACTAAAAAACAGTGCAAACAAAATTAGAAAATCAGCAAGTAGAAAAAATGAGTTAAGATGCTTTGTTTCCAATGGGATTAACTAGCAGCCTGTATACTCAGCAACCTTCTCTAACACTTCTTGGTTGAACGTGGAAACATATAAAGTTTGAACATCTGTTTAAATATGTCAAACATGAAAATTTACTGTATTGTGTTATAGACAAACACTGAATTTTGGAGACTTAGAATAAATAATATAAAATGTCTCGTTAAAAAAAATGATCAAAGTCATTTCTAATAGTAGGCTTCTGAGTACTAAATAGTTCATATTTTGTAATTAGAAACAGAAAAGTTTGCTGAATGAGGCAAAACGTTTGCCTTGAATCTCATAGCAGTAATTCACATTCTTTAAATAACATACGTTTGACATGTTAAAAGTATGTTAAAAATATGGAAGTTAAAAGTATGAACACATGATAAGTGCTCAAAAATATTAGCATAATTAGCTATATATTTCATATCTGTGTTCTTCAAGCCCCAAAGGAATTAAAATACTCTTAGGGCTTGGGCATCAGCTATAGACTCAAGAATTGAGTTATCTTATATGTGTAGAAATGAATTACTGGATAAAAGATTTTGCTTTATCAGAATATGTGCTCTTGCTGGTATTTTCATTGTCTTTTGAAGAATTTAAACTGGTAGGATTATAAAAACGGATGCCAAAATTGCTTGAAATATTACAATGATGAATCCAAAGTAATTAAGGAGCAATGTAGAACTTAATGGAATAGATTTTGAGGTAAAGGAACATGTCAGATGGAAACTTAGCCTGGGGCTTTGCAATAATAATAATAATAATACATAAAATTTATGTTTTTAGGAGTTACAACACACATTAATATACTTATCTATTTTGTTATTTTGAAAAGTGACTCAAATTTTATTTCTATCATTCTGGATACCAACCATACGAAATACCTGGTAATGTTTTAAAATAAGAAGTTTTTTCTTATGCGTTTGCTTTCTAATGCCCTGAAACTCTGGGACCCCCAAAGGAAAGCAAAGTCAATGATCACTGACAGAATTTAAACTGCTAAGGTTGAACATGGAAACATATAAAGATTGCATATCTGTTTAAATATTTAAAACATAATCCTCCATTTACTGTATTGTGCTGTAGACAAGCATATGAATAATATGTCTAATAATAAGGAAAACAAACTCTTTGTCTATTGGAAGCCATCCTCTGATCCCTCTGAAGGATAGGTGAGAAATTTCAATGTATGTGAAGGAATACAAGGGAAAGTAATTTTATATTTTTTAGGTTCAAGTACTCCTAGTTGTCACAACTTACTGACTTGAGATTTCTAATAATAAGAGTGAATATGTAGAATACTAAACCTTAGACCCACTTGTGACAATTACTACACTAAAGGAAATGTTTATGTGAGGGTAAATACCTAACACTGATTCAGTAGTGGCTCATAAATACCTGTGAGTATCTGACTATTGTGCTTCTCTTAATCCTAATCACCCAACTATTTGTACAGCTCTCATGATACTCAATATTCACTCTCTTAATCTGTTTCAAATAGGAAGCCCTTTGTTCTGAGCAAGAGTGTGGACTTCCATAGCCTTGCTACTGAAACAATCATCTGTCAACCAGCAGCCTTGGCATCACCTAGGAGTTTGTTAGAAATACAGAGTCTTGAAGCTTTCAGTGACCTATTTCTAAATTGGTTTTTAATTCTGTAAAACTTATTATTAAGAAAATATCCAAAAATAATTGTCTGTATCCCTCTGAGAGACACATATTCTTAGTAAGTGTAACCAAGATAGAGACAGAGAGAGAAATGCCATGTAGTTGAGAAGAAAGATAATCAACTTCTCTTTTTGTTTATGAAAAGAAAAAAAAATGCCTTTCACTTAACAATTGATGACAATTTGCAATGGCCTTTTATGTAGAGGCAGCACATCACAAAGGTTAAACTGAGCTAGGTGAGTCTTGGGCTTAGCCTGCAACCCACCTTGGTTAAGTTTGCAGTTGGCAAGTGGTGGGAACTTGGGTGAATTGTTGAAATCCTGAAAACCTCAGTTTCCTTCATCAAAAAATGAGAACAAAAAGAGTCACTACCTCATAAGATTTTAGCGATGGTTACAGTAAATATTTTATGCTGGGCTATTAGCAGTGCCATGCACATAATACATACTCAACAGACGTCAATTAATTTATTTCAACCTCCTGGGAAAACCTGAAGCAGGTTTGAAAATCAGACCCAATATGATCCTCTAATTTCGTCACTTACTGTAACCAGTCTCTTGCACAGAGCTGTCATTGACTGACCTCTTCAGCTTTGCAAGCATTCTTATCTTTTTCTCATTTCCAAGTCCCTAACCCCAGGAGTATTTATGGTGGTCTGATGCTGACGGATTGGAGCTTCACAGACATTCCTCATTTCTCTAGTGCCAACCATTGAGGCCAGTGAACAACCAATACCACATGTCTAACAGAAAACTGGTCCAGTCCAACAAGTTTTAACAGGTGAGGTAATGTACAGACCTAACCAATCTCTAATAGTTCCTGACACTTAGGTCCAAGAAGAGTGGGGCAAAGGCCTTGTGTTGAATTTGTAACCAGAGTCATGCAGGCTTGAAGCAAATATTTTTCTTACTGTGGGATCAGCCTTAATTATATATGTTACTATTTTGCCTTCTGAATACATGAATATATTTCGGGTCTATTCTGAGAAAGAATATATTTGCTAAAGAGTCACTTTTTTTCTTCATTCTACATAGCAGACATTTTGAAAATTCATATAATGAGTTGTTTTTAATTGTATTTTTCCTGATTTGATTCAAACTTTTGCTTGAGTACAAGAGTTATTTCTAAATTCTTGTACAGTTAAGATTTCCCTCCCCCAAGGTAGCATAGTTTACTTTCACCTTTCGATGGCTGATTTTTCTCTTAACTATGAAATTTATGAAGTGATATATATTCAGAAAAAATACAACTAATTACATTACCTGCACCTTGATTGGTTCAAATGTATTAATGGGATGTGTTAGACCATATACAACTTTTTCATTCTCTGCTTCAAATGTCCCTGGAAGATAAACATTAAAGATATGATCTTTGGCTTTCTGTGAAGGAAAGAACTAATTTACTTTTTAAAAATATTCATACTGTTGACTTACCAAAAATTCTATCCCAAATAATAAGAACAGCAGCATAATTTTTGTCTATGCAATAACGATTTCTGCCTATGAGACAAAATATTGAAAAATAATTTTTCAAGAAATAAAGTTATGCTTTTTGAAACAGTCTCTTTGTCTTGTTTTTGGAATAAACTCATAAAATTAAGATTTAAGTAATAGAATGATTTTCCTGGAAATGGCATCTCACTGACAACACAAGATTTTTTTTCACTAGGAATGGAGTTTTTACTTTATTTTAAAGTTAATATTACTAAAAAGAGCAAGATATCCTTCAAACTATATGTATGCTTTTTCTCACAGTGCTTCATAGAAATTAGGCAGGAAAGTGAAGTGCTGTTTATTAGGGTCTCCTTAAACACCAAGACCAAGGGCTCTCTATCTTATAGATAGGAACAAGCCTCAGCACTGGGTCAAGGAGTAGCATTGAACAGACTCCTTCAAAACATAAAATGTATATCCCCTCAGTGGATTAACTCATTTTTTCCAGTACAACTGAGCTGCAATCTAGGTAAAGAGGAACATCCAAAAGCCAGATGGAGAATCCTCTCCCACCTGCCCGCCAGTCCATGCTTTGGAGATGAGGCTTATATAAGAGAAAATACAAAAGAAACTATATCTATTTGTACAATGTATGCTAACTATATTGGGTTATTGTGATGAAATGAAGTAAAGCAAAAAATATTAACTAATATAATTTTTAAAGAAAGAAAGATAGAAAGAAAGAAGAAATAGAATTTTCTTACCATGATGAACCCTATGATGGCTAGGAGTATTAAGAATCAGTTCCAGAAAACCAAGGTTAGTGATGACCTGTTTCAAACAAAAGCACATAGTTATCATTAAATGCACCTATAATATCTAAATATTCATATTAGAAATACACATGATTTAGGACATATAGCAATTTTCAAGTTGACATCAGAGAGTGGGAGAAAGTTTCTCTACTGTCTGGAACTAATAGAAAGCCAATAATAATCCCATAACTCTATTCTGAGAGGCAGTATAGTAACATGGTTAAGAGCTAGACCACCTTGGTTCAGTTCCCAGATCCTCCATTTATTACTATATCATATGGGGGAAATAATTTAAGCTTTTTACAACTCAGTTTCCTCATCTTTAAAACAGAAATAATAACAGTATCTACATAGTAATGTTGTTCTGAGGATTAGGAATGTTACTGTATGTATAACACATAACCCTACTGCCAAGGGACACTTCTCTGAGGTTTCATGTTGTTTTATGTTTTTGCCTTTCAACGATGGCTTTGATTATTTATGTTAGCAGAACATAACTATAGGAGGGAAAACATTGTGCTATGTAAGTTTTCTGGTGTTGGGCTCACCCTGTAATCAACCATGTAGCAACATCTTACTACTGTAGCAGTTATCTATTGCAGTAGGCAGAGCCTGCTTATTCAAATAGAATCCTACATGACTTTTGACCTATAGATGAACCATCTACCATTCCATCTCTGCACGATGCAAAGTCAAATATGTAAAGGGGCCTTTTGTTGCCATTAAGATTATTTCGAAATCTGGTCCCTAACTTTTTAATTGTCTTTCTCAACATATCTCAATAAGATTCTAAGGACAACAGAAACCATGCAGATGTCATAAAAAGGTACAGCAGCCCATGTGTAAGATCTTTGTTACATCATATGAATAATATCGGGTAATTTGGAAAAATTTTTATCCCCAAATATATTATTCATTCTTCTATCAAGCATGACAGATAGCATAAAGTTTTACTTTCTTTTAATCATAATCTAAACAGATTTGTTAGTGCCTACAATGACAAAATCAATACATTGTTATAATATTTTAAGAAATAACACACTTTTAGAGTTAACTTCCATTTAGAGAGTATATGAGGAATCAAGGAATGAATTAAATTATATTTAATGGAAAAAATACCCACCAACAATAGTGAATTTGGTAACAAGTTGGTGCTATGGGGGGAAAAAACATAAGGAGATGAGACTGCTTATATGGTTTTTATTGGGAGTGAAAACGGTGTCATCATTGTGTAAAAAAATGCAATTGTTTTTTACAATAGTATAACTGAAGTATATGTGACAGGAGAGCTAGGTTTTGCTACAAAATACTTCGGCAATGAAAAAAAAAAGTATAGCTAATGCAAGTGATTAAAAATCTTGATTTTTTAACCAAAGTGATAAAAATATGTAAATTTATCATTATTCCCTCTACTTCTCAGAATATTTGAATATTTTAATTTAAAATTTAAATAAGATAAGTTGCTAGTAATGTACAGTAACACTTACTAAGCCAGCTGAAAATATTTATAGATCTCCAAAGTCCCAAACATACTTCTAAATCAAAAATCTTTATCTAGCAATTTTTAATTTTGGCTATCTCTGACATTACAACATTCAATTTATACCTGCTCTGTAAATGCAAACAGCTGGGGTGGCCATACCATCCTCAGCTTTTGGCATCCTGTACCATCTTGAAATGAAAGCTGCAGTAAGTTGCCACATAGCAAGGCTGCATCCCTCCATAGGACAGGTGCCATGGTCATCTCCCTATTAGACACAAGGTTTACACACCCAAAGGAGGCAGTCCTTGCCTCTCTTTCTGTTGCCCAGCTTCTAAGAGATTCTCAGTTTCTATTAAGTGATGGACAGAAACATCTGCATGCAAAAGAATATCTGATATTTTGTGTTGTATGCTAATTTAGGTTTCCCTCCCACTCCCTCCTTCTATCTCTCCCTCTGTCCCTTTCTCTCTCTCTTTCCTAACCTGCAGTCTTATCCACCATTTTTAAAGTTATTTCCATGAAAAATGTATTCTGAACTCCAAACAGCAGAACTTTCGATTAATTCATAGAACAGAGCTCATCTGTACACCAAAACCTATATTTTTAATTTCAGCAGTTCAAAATACTGTGAATATATAGCTCTTATTTCAAACTATATTCGTATGATATAAGGCACAAAAGGTGTTATCGCACAAATACAGTATTAATAAAGGAATTGGGAAGGAATTCTGTAGAAATAATCCTGTATTTTATTGGACAATGTTGCTTTATAATTGGTGGGATTTTGTGGGTTTTTTTTAAGAAGAATGGTGAAGAACAGCAAAGAACAGAGCGGGTTTCCCGAGCAGTCAGAATACTGAAATCCGATGCATTGGTTGGGCTTTGTATCTCTGGCAGAGAACCAGATGGGAATGGAGAAAACCATTTTATCCTTGTTTGTCTCTTTGGTGCCTAACATGTGTTACAAAAACAAACAACAAAAGGGAGTAGAGGAGACTACACTGACCGGCTTCTGCTACCCACATGCATTTCTGATCCTTGGTCCTGGCATGTGTGCAGCCAAATTTAAAGCCACACAAATGGTGAGTACATTCAGATGACTGGAACCTTGGCTGAGTGAGTTATTTTTTTAATGTCAAACTCTTTTCCTCAGAGAAAATCTCTTACTCCTGCAGGCTAAAGCATGGTGATATCAATATTGAAAGTTCCTTTTGTTGGGGGGCAGGGGAGATAGTTAAAAGCCAAGTACAACATAGTCAACCACAGATAAATTTTCTGGTGGCGTGTCTGAGTTCCCTGGAGCTGAGGAAGACCACCTCCGAGCGGGAGATGATTCACCATTCCCACAGCCCAGTCAGAATCTCTCATGGAGAAAACCCTTTTGATTCAAAGTCATGGAGAATTCATTAATATTTAGTAAGGACTAAGCGTAACGACTTAATTATCGCCCACTTTTGCAAATGCAGCCATTTAGCAATTCAACCACATCTAGCTTTGAATCACTTCCTGAAAATATGTTACTCTGGGAATAATTGCAGTTATTCCCATTTTTAGAAGTTATTTACTTATATTAATTTTTTAGATTTAAATGAGTTCATTTAAATTATGGAATTTTTGAACATATGGAGGGCTTTAATATAAAATAGTCCAATACTCAATTATATATATAAACAAAAACCATAAAACCGAGAGATTAAATTACTGTCCTAATTTAAACAGCTTGGAATAAGCCCTAAAGCCTTTCAGTTTCAGCTCAGGAATTTTTCTACTTTTCTATCATATTGCTTTTAAGACATACTGAAATTCCTATCAAATAAAAGTAAATTAAACGTTTAGAACTTTAATAGAAAATGATAATGAAGTCTTTTTTTGCTACTTATCAGTTAAAATGATTCCAGGTATTTATTAGGAGCCCAGGGATTTCATCTTGTAAAATAGCCCTCTTGGTATCTTGAGCACTTCTGATGTTTCTTAGGTCTCTGAAGCAACACTTAAGGCTTGGCCCCTGAAATTTTTGTTAGAGTTTTATAATCTGAGGAGCATAGATGTGTAGAAAGGCCATAAATAGTTTCCAGAAGGTCAGGTAAGCCCTAAGTTTTAAACCAAATTTTATGAATATATCCCTATGGTATTTTTCTGAGGAGAAATTCTACCATTTTCATCACATACTCAGATGGAAACATAAAGTATCCAAAGGTTAAGAACCAAAGTCCTAAACACATATGATTTTATATTATTTCCTTTGCCTTTCTTATTTATATTATGTTAGTTTCCATATCATTAAAACTTGAAGACATTCTATAAAAAAGACATCTGCACTCTAATGTTTATAGCAGCACAATTCACAATTGCAAAGATGTGGAAACAACCCGAGTGCCCATCAATATATGAGTGGATTAATAAAATGTGATATATGTATACTATGGAGTTCTACATAGCCACAAAACAATAGTGATCTAGCACCTCTTGTATTATCCTGGATAGAGCTGGAGCACATTCTATTAAGTGAAGTATCACAAGAGTGGAAAACCAAGTACCATATGTACCCACAATCCAATTGCTATTAACTGACTACTGACCAATGCTTAAGTGTGCATTTAGTAGTAACATTCATAGGGTGTTGGGCAGGTGGGAGGGTGGAGGAGGGGATGGGTATATTCACACCTAATGGATGCGGTGTGCACTGTCTCGGGGATGGACATGCTTGAAGCTCTGACTTGGGTGGAGCAAAGGCAATATATGTAACCTAAACATTTGTACCTTTGTAATATGGTGAAATTAAAAAAAAAACCAAAACCCACAAATTTCAGTGCTGATTTCTCCCCTAAACTGCACAAATAAAAACTTAAGCACTTTTTCTGCCCATTTCTTAAAATTGTTAAATTTCCCAGAGACCATTTGTTAAGCTATTTTTATTTGTATAGTTACAAGTTATTAATATTTAAATAACAAGAATAACAGTTTTGACATGACCCATGAATTCTACTGATTAGCTTTAATCCAACAGAAGTGCTCTGGATAATTTTCTGGAATTATCACAAACTCCTCATTTCCCCCTCCACAATATTTGATGGGTGTGCGGAAGAATTAAACATAAAAGCAAGAGAACAGGAACCATGAAACTCTGTCATCTACTCTTCATGTCATTTCCCTTCATCGAAAATAAAATGAAGTCAAATAAAAGGCTCCTCTGTATGAATTAAATAATACACAAAACTTTTGGAACTCAAAGTTGTTTGCACTCTTTCTCCAGTGCGATTTCCAATGTTTAGTGCTGCTAAATATCCTATAATGTACGGGACAAGTCCCCACAATAACAGTGATCTGGTACAAAATTTTCAATAATGTCAAAGATGAGGAATTCTGCTTTATGGGTGTGGGTGGCTTTCTGTGCTCCCATCCTTTGCAGTTCAGGAGGACACTGCGTAATTTCTGATTTCTAATCTGGGAGTTGGGGGTAGTGGTGCCTTAGGGAACGAGCTTGGTGGTCGTTCTCCAAGCCGGAGGCAAAACATGAATCTGGAGCCCTTGGA